GAACTACTGTATACAAAACAGAAATAAAAATGAGATAGGAAGAAGCCGAAGAAATGAGAAAGAAAAAAAAAGAAAAATAGAGGTTTTTTTAAGAAATATAGAAAGATCAGTTTTTGTCGTAGTTATTGCCGTTCTTAGTTGTCATCTAAACCATTCTTAATTTGTCTTCGATCTTTTTCTATCTCCTTTTTCTTCTGCTTGTTCTTCTTCTACCAAAATCTGGGATGTTCACACAGTGATTCTAGCACAACAGTTTTTCTTCTACTCAAAAAATACAAACATTTTTTTTTTTCACCGCCAACGTCCTGTTGAAATCTATTTATCAGCTTTGTAATAACAAACAACAGCACCGTTGGTGTCCCGTACAAAAGTTTCAGAAAAAAAGCGGTTGTACTGCTTTCTTCCTTCTGTCACTCCCAAAAATCGTATAATTATTGGAATTAGATTCCAGCAGACAATAAACTTTTAGAAAAAGTATTGTTTTTTTTTTTGCTAAACAAAAAATAGTAAAAAGAAAAAAAGAGAGTACAGGAAACCTTTATTTTTTTTTTTTTTTTGTTTTGAAAATATGATTAATATTTGGTGAAGTACTTAAAAGAAGGTAAAAGAAGATAAAAAACGGTTTACTACACTCGCTTCAGTGACAAAACAGAAGACAAGTGAAAATTAAGCAGTGAAATAGAAAAAGGCAACAAAACAACAGGAATTTTTTTTATTTCTATCTATTTTCCTTTTCAAATCCGGGTCGGAAAAAAAAGTGTTGAATTTTCTTTTAAAAGTAGTAAAAAACAGCAAAAGGATAATTTTTTTACTAAGTTACCGCTTGGTAACTAAACAATTGAACAGTAGCAAGAAACCTCAACAGGCTACAGAGTATTTTTTTAAAAATTTTGAGGAATAATTGTTATTTAAGAAATTACAGAGACAAAAAGCGATAATTAATCTGTTTCTGTCTTCTTGCTTTTCCTCCATTAAATTTTAGAAAACCGTTGACATTATTGAAATTTATCGCTAAATTTTTATCTTTGATTAGTGGTTTAGTAGGACCATATCTCAAACACATTTGTTGAACACATGAATTTCATATGCGCATTGTCATAAAATCAAGAGTTTATGTTTTCCAAAAAAGTACGGTCTTGTCTTCTTATGTGTACATTGAACTTTTACTTATGCCTCTAAAAAAGCCAGCAATGTTTCAGCCTTCAATTGACAATACAACTTTATCAGGTGAAAGAAAATGATGTTCAGTCAAAAGGCGGTACAGCAACGATTCCATATCCACTGGAATCGGCATATTTCCTTCTCATTCACTCTTCGTCTCGTAAGTAGTTTATGAACATCTATATTAAGTTAAAACCAATTCAGGCTACCTGTTTGCTGCTCAAAATTTAATAGTAAAACTAAGTCTTAAGTCCAAACGAAGTCCGACTACTCATTACTACTTTTCCTTGCTTTTTTTTTCTTGAAAACCAGCGACAGCAATTAGACTATTAAATATTCTTGCTGTAAATTAAAAACCGAACTTTTTAATAATTCTTACACACTGAGAAAAAACCGGTCAAAAAATTTTGTAATATAGTAACTTTACTCAAAATTACTGCAGAGAGCTAAAAATGCTAAAAATAATAAAAAGATTTTCTACAAGAACAAAATCTTTTACCAAATGGTTTTGCAATTAAAAAAGAAGCAATAAATTAGCTTATTTAATGCATCAGGCGCCTAATTTCGACTGCTCATTTAACTCATAAATTTATTAGCATACTAAAAGCATGTGCCAGTTGTCTTTACCGCCAAAGTAAAGTTGGAAATGATAAAATCTTTGTTTTTGAAATGATTTTTGGTCAAATAAAGTTCAGCAACTATTTTCCTTGATCATTTATTTTCTAATCGGTGTCATTTTTAATCACAACAATCCTTAACTAATTTTCCCAAAAGCACTTCAAAACTTAGAGCAAGACAATTATTGAAATATTTTGCTAAAAGATTTTTGAGCGAATAAACTACGGCCACTTGTCATTCAGAAGTACTTGTACAATTTTTTTTGTTAAAGGGTCTGTGAGTAGTCACGTGGAAAATTATCCTTAATAAGACTTCCTCTTCATAATTTTTATCAAAGAAACTGCAACGTAAGGGAATCAGAACGTGATCTTCACTCAGGCAGTTATAAATGATAAGCTTCTTTAATAAAAAAAGTTTGTTCTGTATTTTAAGTCTATTTCTTGGTTCATTTATCTATTTACAAACTGACTGTTTAAACTTTCTTGTGCTTGTTCAGCTAGTGTATGCAATTCTATAAAAAAATCTTATCTTCTTCGACTGTTTATCGAGTCTGTGAAATGT